AACCGGCAAGCAGGCAGGCAGGCAGGCAGGCAGGCAAGCAGGCAGGCAAGCAGGCAGGCAGGAAGGGGCTGCTCTAGGGAACGAGAAACATAGACGGAGGAGGGAATGGGCTGAAGGAGAGGAGGGAAGAGGAGCGGAGAGGAGAGACGGAGGGTTAGGGTGAAGGTAGCGAAGGCGGTGGGAGGCTGAGGAGGGTGCGGGCGCGGATGCCCGANTCGGCTAGAGAGATCCATAGGGGTGCCGGCAAAGAGTAGGGGGACTACCGCCCGAGGCTTCAGAAACCAAGGGTGTCTAATGCCGAAGTGGACTTTGTTCGTCGACGGAGACGACGACGACGTCGCAGTCGGTGCGTGCACGCAGGTAGAGAGATGTAGAGGGAGAGAAAGAAAGAACGAGGAGCTCTCTCTCTCTCTCTCTTTATTTCTCTTTTTCTCTTTCTCGTCGAGGTGGCCGTCACGCCGCGTACTTGGCGTTAAACGCGGCCGTATGCTTCCTCCGCCCTATGACGGGCGGATTAACGCCGCCGCGAATAAAAGGATCGCCGGTAACGAGACGCGTCGGCGAGTAGAGTTAATGACGAGTTACTAATCAAGTCGATAATATGCCGTCGTGAGTTCGACGTGGAAGCGAGAAAGGAGGAATCTAATTTACCGCGTTACGCGAGAAGTTTTCGTGATATATTAAGTTAACGCTCGCTCTCTCCCTCACTCTTTCTCCGTTCCCCCTCTCTCTCTTTCTATCTGTTAGTTTCGCGCGGCGGTTTGCGCAATATCCTTCGACGGACCGATAACGCTGGCGATAAGGATGATTACGGGGGCGATAATGAGAATAACGACGATTACGGAAATCGCGATCACGACGGCCCGTCCGAAGACCGGCGCGGATCGTCGGCGGCGTATCGAATCGACGGGAGATTGCACTTTCGCCGGAAAGTTTTAAGCTTTTTTACGCCCCTTGTGTCCCGAAGTTTCCCTACCCGCGTCGAAGCAAACTGTTGCTTAGATCGTTATCGCGTACGGCCGCGCGATAAGGGGTAAAGGTTCGCCCCATCGACGTGAAGGAATTAGAAATAATCCCCTTAAGGCTCTACCCCCTTGTGAAGGGAAACCGAGCTCGTGCTTTTTCTTCCCGCGCTTTCGACTTTTCAATTGACAAGCCGACGATTACTTTCTATACGGCGAGGACGAGCTTGCGACTCCTCCCCTCTCGCGCGCGCACGCATTCAGGCCATTCGTTTGATTAACGTGTACGTTACGTGCGTTCGGTGCCGCGCGTACATTGTTGAGAACGTTATTAATCCCGACGAGTTTGCGCTTCATCGCCGACGGAGTTTCCTTCGTTCTCAGAAAGGAAAGCAGAGAAAGAGGAAGGCCGGAGGAGAACGAATTAGAAAGGTCGGGAAAGAGAAAGACGGTTCGCGCAGAAGACGTCGTAAATAAAGTACCGGGCCGGCCAATAAAAGGATCGCCTTTTTGAAGGAAGTCGAGCGGACAGGTGGAGCCCCGAGGACGTCTGTGCGCGAGGTATAACCGTCGTAAAGTCGAGAGAAAAAGTATTTTACGACGCTGGCCCGATAACTTGGCCACTTCCCTTAAGACTATCCTGCAGGGCCTTTTATGAGGTCACTCCTACGTCATAGTCGCCGTTTATCCGTACGTCCACGTACCATCGACGCATAGTAATCTCGACAACGCGGCCCCGTCGAAATAATGAAAGAAGCCCGATCGAGTGATATCGCGATTTTCTCGCGATTTCTAAAGTTTCCCGCTGCTCTCCGGCGTTTCTCGGGCACGATATTTTCCGTCGAGACGGTTTACATCGCTGTAGTAGGCGGCGTGGATCAATATTCTGTATCTTCCACACCGAGACGGCTCGTGTTAACTAATGTTTCAGAGAACGCCTTGCTTTGAGACCTTCGCGGTCCGAATAGCCGTTGGACTCTTCTCTCCTCAGGCGATCCGCAGAAAATCATTTTTACCTCGCGACAATATCCCCGTGGTTTGCGTTTATTTCAATATTCCAGCATTTCAGTATCCAACTAATGCACGACAAACACATTACACATTTACAGTGTAACGTAATTATATATTGAACGTAATATTATATAATAAATAAAACGTTGGTTTGCGGAAAACGAAACTCGATATCGAGGTACAGACTCGACGCAGAATCGCAAAGGGTTGACGGTTACGTAGAAGTTGGTGGAACGTTACAAGACGCGTTGTCTCGGCGCGAGCGACGAGCTTCGATCGGCCGCGTTAATTGCTCCGTCGGCTCGCGCCTTGAGAAAAATCACGCTCCTTCGTCGCGATTACGATCGGCGAATAACTGTTCCGCGCTTTCAGCCCGGTCGCGAGCGGAATCTCCGATGGAGTTTTGCAGAACTCGATCGTTCCGCGCGTCAAGGTTGACCGAAGCAGTAGTAGGAGTAAGAGCGGTAGTAGTAGCTTGGCGACTTTACGTGCATCTCGTAGGAAGCGCGGATTTTCCGCAGCTTTGCTCGTACTTGACCCGACGAAAGAGAGAGAGAGAGAGAGAGAGACCGTACGATTGACTGACTGCGGTCGCGTCTTGAATTTACAGCAAAGGGAAGTCGTGATCTCATCGGGGAATTACCGAAGTCTTCCAAGTTTACGCGAAATCCTTTCACGTAGCGCACGTAAAGGCGGGCGTGTGCCTCGTTCTGTTTCGTTCACGAAAACGCCCCGGGACACACGTGAGGCGGCCCCATCGAACGTTATTACACAACTATCCGACGTGTGAAATGTAGAAGAGAGACGAGGCAATCGCTCTCCGCGGCTTTATCCCCCCCTCTGACCTAGCCAACCCCTGCCGGTGTGTCTCGCGCTCTCGCTTTCGATCATACTTTTTAACGATACATTCGTCACGTGGATCGGACGCCGCAAACCGTAATTACAGCCGGCGTAAAGACGGGCGCGCGCCATTTGAAAATCGCCCTGCCTCGATATTATAATTATTGGAGCCGGCGCGTCCGCCCCGGCCGTAAACGGAGTATTAATCCGGACTGGTAGCGGCGACGACCGGTTAATAATACGGAAGGCGCGCGAGAGCGGCGGGGAGATATCCCGAAAATAAAAGTGCAGACGAGAGGGTAGGGTGCGCGCGGATATCTGAAAATCGATCTCGTACGAGGCGTTATCATTATCGCACTTCGCCTATATCCGCCGCCCGGCGCCGCGGAAGTATTAGCCAATGTCGGCGTACACCTGTGTAATCTACGCGGCCAGACGACGTGGACCACCGGTCGCCTTATAATCTAAGCGGCCTAACGACGACAACAACAGCTACGGCAGCAACGAGAACGAGCAGTCGATGATTTCGAGTACGCGAGATCGCTCGGATTACGCGCAGGATATTCTACACCGTAGACCACTGTTATTTGCGCGTAGATCGCCGATACCGGTGTTAACCCAGGCCGACGGCACGACGACGACGCACGACGAGCTAATAATACGGAAGGCTTAAACGGAGAGGGGCTCCCCCTGAAAAAACGCATACACATCGTGCAAGCAAACCCGTTCGGCGTGCTCTTTCGCCCGGGTCGCACGCATGCGAGCGAGCAGCCAGGTAGAGACGGGAGGGACCACTCTCGTCGGAGGTGCCGCGTAACTTACGTCTCTCAAGTACCGCGGCAAAGCCACGGCAGCGTTACGTATCGCCGGTAGTGGCACACTGGCGTGACAGTATGGTGCAAAGGACGGAGTCCGGTGCGACGAGGAGACGACGAACGACAGAGAGCAGGAGGGAGACAGAGCGATATAGGTAGAGCGCAACACACTCGAATAGACGAAGGCCGACTAGAGAGAGAGAGAGAGCCGTGGATACCGCGCGCGTCCACGTAGCAGCGCGCACATGTACAGCAGAGGAGCAAAGCGGTGGGCACATACCCTTCTAAGCACAAGCCTAACACACCCGTGGAAGCCCCTTCGGCCGATGAGCGTTGGCGCCCCTTGGCCCCTCGCTACGCTGTGTCACCCCCCGCCGCGCAGCCCTCACCGTCCGGAAAGGTCCCTGCCGCCCGTTCCCTCATCGCTCCCCCTCTCCGCGTCGCCGGATACCCGACAGCGGCCCCTTACGCCCCTTTGAAACACCCCCCCTGCTTTCCCCCCCAAGTTACTCGTCCAGCGGCCCCCTCGATGTTCTGACGGTGACAGACCCTACCTTACCGCCGCCGCCGCCGCCACCGCACCGACCGAATGGGGAGGGTCGAGGGTCGAGGGGGAGACGGCGAGGGCGCCGGGACGAAGAGCAGAAACGCGAGAGAGAAACGGAGACGAAGAGAGACAGCTACGGCGAGGAAGGGGGTCGAGGGAATGAGGGGGGTTGACGCGCTCGAAGAGGGCCGCTGGGGAGTGAGAGAACGGTGCGGGTCGTCGGAGGAATGGGGGCCTGCGGGGGAGCGGGAGGGACCGGCGGGAGGTGGGGAGGGTGGGTTGACGGCGAGAGAGTGGGGTATGGGTGAAGCGCGGTAGTGTGAGGCTCTCTCTGCCGTGGCGCTGGGGTGAGGCGGTGAGACACCGGAGAGGGAAGCGAGACGGTGGTGGTGGTGACTGTGCGGAGAGGGGAGGAGGTCGTCGCCGCGTCGCCAGTCGGCCAGTTCGCCGTGAGCGTTCGTGCAGTGAGGACGTTCTGTACACTCGTCCACGAGCGGGGAGCAACTTGATTTTTCGCCGCGACGAGACAGAGAACGGACGGTTGCGACGCGTACAGCCGCATCACTCCATCTCGAATACTCGAGACAAGGAGGTGCGCGAGCATTCGGCTCGGTTTTCCGCGGCCGACGGACGATCATCCAACTTGCGAGGACGCGCGAGGGTCGATCGCTCCGAACTTTGCTTTTGTTTTGCTCGTTCGCGCGCGAATTGACAGTCCAAACGTTTCGCCCCATCGATCGGGGGTGGAAGTCCGTTCGGCGACCGAGGTGCTTCCCTATCGGGATGACGCAGAGATCGGACGGGCCAGCTGATCGCCGTACAGTCTCACCGGCTTGACGCGGACTTTGTTCAGCTCTGTTGCGTTGTGCGCGCTTATCGTGACGTGAGAGCAGGAGAGACGGCAACGAGAGAGACAGCTGAGAAGACGTGCGTGAGGAGCGCAGATTGATTGAGGGAGGGAGAGAGGAAGGAAAACAGGTGAGAAAGACCGGACTTTTCGAGTGTCGAGTATTCCCGTCCGCTTGTTTCGGACGCGCGCGGAGTTGTTTTAATTTCGCGCGGCGCCGACACCTGCGGCAACAACTAACTGCGCGCGGGCTTTTATCGCGGAACTTTTGTGGCGCCGCCGTGTGGTGTGGTGTGCGCGGGGGGTGAGCTTAAAGTTCGCGAGCGCAAGGTGGGACGGCGACCGTGCGCGCGCGTGCGGCGTAAGAAAGACAGAGACAGAAACGAAACACGATACTTCGAGAAAGTTTACTGGAACGACGTTCGTTCCCGCTTCTAGAGGGGACATCTCGCTCCCTACGTGTCACGGAAAGTCGTCGGAAGCGAAGGAAGTAGACAAAAGGAGACGACGTGGAACGGGAAGGCAGGAGAGATATAGAGTGAGGAAGGAAGAAAGAAAGAAAGATAGATAAAGAAAGAGAGGGGAGAAAGTACCGCACCGCGTGCACTCATCGCCAACCCTCCCCCCCTCCCCTTCGCCCTTCTTCCTTTGTGTTCACCGATCGTCCCTGGGCCTTCGGGTGGACGCCTATGGCTTGTCAGTAGAGGAGAAAAATAGACGGAAGAACGAAGAGGGTCCGGCAGGTAGAGAAGGAAGAGAAAAGATAGGAGTAGTAGGGACGGAGACAGGAGGAAAGGGTCAGTAGGAGACAGGCCGGACAAGCAGATAGATCGACGAGGTGGACATTTCCCGTGACGAAAGGGAGCAGAAGGAAGACACCGGAGAACTGAATATGTCTGCGAAGCGAAAGTCCACTGCCATCATTCAGCACCATAAGGTGAGTCCGTAATATATACGAGCGCGCGCATACACATACAGACACACACGCAACGTATAGGCGCGTGTACACACGGCCACGTGATATATCGGTACTTCTTCCCGTTGCGTTCCGTCTCTCGCGCGACGAACGAAGCGAACAAGACAGCGCCAAGTTCGACGCTCGGGAAAACGCTTTGACCGATTTATCGGCACGCACACGACGAACTCGAAGCCATCGCGCGAAATAAAACGACTCGAGTTCAAGGTTGAAGTTCAAATTCGCGCGGCAACTGAGTTCAGGTGGAGAGAGAGAGAGAGAGAGAGAGAGAGAGAGAGAGAGAGAGAGAGAGAGAGACAGACACACACACGTTTATCGCGTTGACCTTGACGATGAGTTCGATTTCGTTTCGTCAACGAACATCGCGGAATGGCCATGACAAATTTTCGTCAGCTCTGCGAGAATGACAGAGTGAGAGAGAAAGAGAGAGAGAGAGGGAACGCACGAGAGAGCGAGTTCCAAAAGTCCGAGTACACGGCGCACCGTTCCGGAACTCGTTACTTGCACGCGCAGAACCTAATTTTTTTTTTCGGCGCGCGCTGGAAGACAAACTGCGGAAAAGTTTTAATTGAAAGAGTTGTGTAAATCCCATCGGCGACGGCGACGTTATGATGAGGCCGGAGTGCGACATTCGAAAAATTTTCCCAGTCGAGCCCCCAAAATTTCGTCTTGATTTACTCGCCGTCAAATGGCTCCCCGCTGTGCCCCGGTGACCCGTTATATCTGCATTTTTCCTTCCAGACCATTGTTTTGTACGCATTTAAACCGGAAGCCTCGTGGTCGTGCAAAATAGTAAACGATGCGTGTCTATTCACAGTCAATTCTCGTCACAGGTACTCTCGCATTTTTTAATTGGCCCACGTTCGAAATCGTGATTGATAGAAAAGTAAAATAAACAAACCGGAAACCCCCCCCCCCCGAGATTCTTCGAAAGATTTATATCGCTGAAAAGTGAGATTAGATAATCCGGTTATATCCAGCGCAGAATTAATTAAAAACCCGGACGATTGTGAGAGTAATATGAAAGTTATTATAGCGCTAAGGGGCAACGAAAATTTTTATCCTCGCGATCGCCGAGAAAAGGATAATTTTCTTTTTGCCACGGCAGTTCTATTGCACCACTAAATATGGGGCGGTGCAATAATGCACATATGCCGGCAATAGAAAAACCGCTCACACATTAATGCGCGCGCGCTTGACACGCATATACGCAGAGGTCAGCGATCGCCTCTTTAAGTTTGTCTGGTGTATTATAAGCGAATAATTTCCACTTGCTCGAAATCGCGTCGGGTTTATATATACGCACATCGGCGACCGTCGTGTGAATCTCGCTGACATACATCCGGCGCGAATCGCGCAGTTCGCGGCGCTCGTCGTCAATGACGAACGCAATCGGATCGCACTTATCGCCGGTTTTTTTTCTCCCGCTGCTCGTTCACAGCGACCGCGCCAGATTAGACCTACGTACTATCTGCGCGAAAGATAGATAATCCCCGAATCGCGCTCACGACGAGAGAGAGAGAGAGAGAAAGAGACGCGCTCTCGATTCGCGCGCACGTGCTGACAGCTCGCGACATTTCCGTCGATTAGTCGCCGTGTGCGGTTCCGCTCGGAGGCCCCGAATCTCGCGATATAATTTGCGACTGATTTGACTCTTTTGCGGTGCCGGGCGCGGTAATAATGTCGCGGAATGAGACGATAAGTTCGACTGATCATCCTTGAAATGAGAGACGCGCGATAGAGAATTGTTTGCGGCGATCGTTGTGACTCGCAAAGCGCAACGGACGGGGAGAAAGAGCGTCGTCGTACGATGGTCGTTAAAGAATCGGCGGAGGAGATATTTTAATAATAATTTAATACACCCGATCACGCGCTCACCTCGTAAATACGTTATCTGGGCGGCGATGCGCGAGTGTGACGCACGCACACGCGCGCGGCACACGCACGTACGAGTGCGAAGAAGTGAACTCTCAATTAAATCGAACTCGACGAGCGCGAGGCGCGAGCGATAATACAAAGGAACCGAAGTGTTAAAAAGTCCGAAACACCCGCCGTCATTGTTCCCCGCCGTTAAACTTCGTTCATATCGCCGTGCGTGATTAAAAACGGCGCGTTTATCGGCCGATAAAGGTAAAATCGGCGCAAAAAGGGACCGAAGCGCTCGCGCCGTTGAAACGAATTATAGCGGCAGCGCGCGCGTCTCTTAACAATTTTTCGAACATTCGTCTATGCGATTTTCAGTGTGATAATATAACAGCCGTCGAAACGCGGTTCCGACGAGCGAGTATGCCGATAAAAAAATGCGAACGCGTATCGAACACGCCTCGTTAATTTATCGATCGATGTGTCCGGCGCGGTGTAAATTGCTCACGATGACATCGTCCAAATTATATCCTTCTCTCTCTCTCTCTCTCTCTCTGCTTCTTGTCAACCTCCCATTCCGTTCCTCCTGTTCGTCTCTAATGTTATCGCGCGTTGTACGCTAAAAAAAAATGTCGCAGTCGGACCACCGTGTCGGTGAAGTCGAGCGTCGTCGTCATCTTCGGTGTCGCTCGATAACGAGCGTAACCGCGCGTCCTTTCTCGAAACGCCGTAAAATGGGACTCCATCTTCGCACACGAGGTATTTCTCTCGCGCTGTGCCATTCGGTTTCGCGAATATTTTAATCCCTCCTACGTTTGTCTGTGTCCTCGCGGGACCTCGATTGCACGATAGTATCGAGGAACTCCGGACGGTAGACCCGCTTTTAGCAGACCGTCACGATTACATCACCGATCGGGCCCTGTTATTATCAAATGCCGTCTTCGTGTTGCGGTAACAGCGTTCATGGACGGGCACGCTCGGCGGGAAACGCGGAAAACGCAAACAGGGAAACCTAAATGCGCGGCCGAGGACACGCGACCACGTGTCGACGTTGGGTGTCGGCACTACGTCGGGAATGTGACGAATACGCGGTCGTGTCGCAGTTTCGAAAAACACGAGCCGTCCTCGTTCCTCCCGGAGAGTGCGGTACGCTTTGTTGTCTCATTAAACGTCGATGTGGATTGCACGAGAGGGAGAGAAAGAAAGAAAGAAGACGGAGGATAGATAGAAGATGGATGGGGAAGCGCGCTCATGCTGAAAAACAGTACACGTTAACGACGGTAACGCCAAGAAGCGAAAGCAGAGTGTAAATACTCGCGACTGGTTAGCTCCGACGAGGTTAGATCGATCAGATCAGAATCGAACCGCGAAAGTCGGAGTCGGAGTTGAGGTAGGTTCGGGACGCCTGCGTGCGTCCTTCTTCTCTCTCTCTCTCTCCCCCTCTCTCCTCCGTTTCAGCGCGTTCTCGTCTCTCCTCGTCCTTCCCCTTCTCCAGCAGTCGTTTCACTCGCTCACTCCACCAGCTCGTTCGACTCGTGTTGCTCTACCGTAATCTCTCTCTCTCTCTCTTTCCGCCTCACGGCCTCTCGCCGTCTCTTTCACTCCGACTCCGGCGCTCGAGCCTCTCGTTCTCTCCGTTGCGCCTACGTAGCTACCTCTCGCTCTTTCGCGGTCCAACAGGTTATATTTTTCCAGCGGCATCTCTTCCTCCCCTTTCTCCACCCTCTTCGTTGCTTTCTCTTTTTTACCCTCTTTGTTTTTCGGTCTCTATTCACCTCGTCTCGATCCACGCAGCCGTCCTCTTTCCGTCGTGGCACATGTTTCCGTTTCGTCGCTGCCGTCGTGTCGTCGTTGTCGGCGGCGACATTCCAACGCCACGTTGGCCTGATGGTGAAATCTTTTTTTTTCCCCCTCGAGATGCCGACCCACCGGCGGATTTTAATCCTCCGACCGTATCCGGGTGTTTTTCGAACCGGCCCCGAAACGAGCGCGAAGAATTCCCGCGATGTTACGACATTCGTCTCGGACAAATCACTTCCTATTATTAAGGATACGATAAGGCTACTATGTTACACGATAAGGATGCGATAAGGACACGGTAAATGCAGGAGGCATTAGTGCGTGTGAATATGCATAATAGGCTGGTCACGAAGCGGCGTTGAAGAACGGACCGTTGATAGGACTGAAACGGCGCGATGTACACGGGCTTCTCCGGGCGGCCTTCCTCACGAGTAATTTTCGGCAAACTTTCGCGGCAACTGTCGCAGCTTACACCGCCGGATGCGGCCCTCCTGGCGGAGCTTCAACGTGGCGAGGATAATTAACGGCGTAATTAAAGCTCGCGTTGCTTATATTTATTTTTCATTCTATTAAATTGCGACAAATGATTTAAGCGACCGGGGGCGGCCGTCTGCACACGCGAGCAAACACGACTTTACGGAGCAAGAGTAAATATTGTATCGCAAAAGTGCGGCGGATTGGGAGGAGGGGGAAGGGGCGATAGCAGAGCTGGGGGATGAGGCGGCGGCGGGTAGGGGCGTTAATTCGTTAAAAGCATTCCGGCGACAAGTATTTTCGCGTTCTCTTTTTTCTTTTTTTAATCAGTATAAGTGCACGCGCGCGCTCCGTCCCTCGCTAATCTAGCCCCCCGACCATTTTCGCGTTCGCCGCGGCCGGCCTGCATGAAACACCGCACGAGCCGCCGCAATAATCACGTTATAATTCGCGTCGAATAGCGGCTATCAAATTAAACGCTTCTTGGACCGGGGCGATGTGTGTATTATCGGGCGAAACCGAAGATCGCTCAATCTCCATTATTATTCGCACATGTTATAACATCCGCGCTGTTTGTCAAACGTGACATCCGAACGCCGATCGATCCGCTTTTTCGGGGCGGCGCGGCGCGGAGAAATTGCTCATCGAGAAATAAAACGATGATATGTTTACACGTGACTCCGCGGAGTGTCGCGCGCGATAAACGAAAAAGGAAAAAAAAAAATAAAAATAAAAATACTTCCTCGAAAGAGAGAAAGAAAAAGAGAGGAAAGGGAAAAGTTCGCGATCGCACGGTGCCAACTTCCGACGTCTGAGATCAGGAA